AGCGAGGTACGGACACCTGAAAGATGTAGGGTACAAAATGACAATTTTCTGACCTTCAGAAACGCAGAAATAACTTAGTCAAACCAACATAAATTTCGGTTGATTAACATCGAGATACCTGACATGTACGGGTAGAATAATGGTATCATCACGTGTGTTTTTCGTGGGACAGAATTCTGAGAGATTTGCATTGCGGTTCCCTCTGAGAAACGAGAATAGCATGTCGAAGAGGGATTGAGAGTTCAGTTGTGTGCAGTGAACCACTCCGGCAAGTTTGGAAAGGCTAAGTTGAAGAGTCGAGGGAACAGATGCATCAGGGTGCGTATTTAATGAGCACGGAATTTCGAAGAGTAGACATGGATGAAATATAAGTAGAAAGGATAAACGGGAACAGTAGGGCACCCTGTAGTACGCCTAGTACAGAGATTAATGTAGAGGAGGAACGATCAGGGTAATGTGTGAAGTGTGATCGATTTGTGAAGTAGTCTTTGAGTACTGCGGATATGGTATGTGGCATCCCACTGGAAGACAAAATATTTGACAACTCAGACCTGTCAACACAATTGAAGGTGTCGCTATAATCCAGTAAATATCCTGAAAGCTTTCTTATTTCCATCGAGCGCCGATAGGAACCAGAGAGGCTGGGGTATCCAGCGTGGAACGAGAGCGGTGGTACGTAAATTTGTTCGGGCCTTGCACATTAAGCTCGCTGATGACATTCCTTGAACGATTAAATTCTCGCGAAGTTTCAACACAACAAATGTACATGCAATGGGACGGAATTTTTCAAGGTTCCTCTTTTAGGCACCGAATTGATGATGGTAGATTCCAACAATCCGGTATATTATTCTGTTTCCCACGCATTGGTTAAACAGAGCTGTGATCATCGATGGATGTATGCACACGACTCACATTCGATTCAAAATGGCTGCACCCGTGTCTTCACTACATCTTGAACCATTGCGAATTTGAGAAGTCACTAAGTCAAACACATGCACAAGTCTGTTGATGATCACCAGCCGAAGTAGTCAACGGAACAAATGCCGGAGTTTTCTGTAATACTCTTTGTCTTGTCA